TTACAGCGTGAAGGAAAGAAACATTGAGGAAAAGGATTGTTAGGGCAAGAAAACAGATTGGGCTGTAAATTACACTGGGAAGTCAGTGCTCGGTGGCGTACTGCGTGTGTGTGTGTGTGTGTGTGTGTGTGTGTGTGATAGAGAGAGAGTGAGAGAGAGAGGGAGGGAGGGGATGGGAAGCTCCCTCTCACCCCTCTGCCCCGTCCCCACTGAAGGATAAGCCCCCCCCACCCCCCCGCTTGGTGCTCAGTGCTCGGTGCTGGGGCCCCACTGGTCCTGCAGCTCTTTACCTGCCTTACGTGGATTAGTCTGTGGGTGGGAAATCCTGGCGGGGGGCACAGTGCTGGGGTCCTGGCTCCGGAGCCAGTACTCAGACCCAGCACTGGCTGCTTGTTTCCAGGTCTGCAGCCCGGGATGGACTATAAGATCACAATTGTCCCCATGCGAGGAGACCTGGAGGGCAGGCCAATCTTCCTGAATGGCAGGACAGGTAAGAACTGCCTGGAGGCACCGGGAGCTTTTCTCACGTTTGTCTTCTGATGTTTTTCTCAGCTGACTCCCATCTGGGCAAAACTCTGGGATTTGTGTGTAGAGATAGTCTATCTTTGTGTCTATCTTTGTGTCCTGAAGTCTGTTTTGGGGGGCAAAGGGCTGTTGGATTCAGATTGCAGAAACCTTTCAGATCACACTTTTAAAATTTACTATTATTATTATTATTATTATTATTATTATTAAAGGGCTTATCTCGCCCCTCTTGAAGCCGTCTCTCAGCGTAGGGTTCAAGCAGAGGCCAGTGTCCACCTGTCTCGGGTGGTGGAGACAACCTCTTGCGTGTGTAAACTGTGGAACGAGGTCACCCTGAGGAACTAGATCTTGAGCATCCGTGATCTTGACCAGCCAAATGACTTCTCTAATTTTTCTTTTTCACATATTTTTACGAAGAAATTGATGGCCCAACCAATGTGGCCACTGATCGAGTGACTGAAGACACGGCGGTGGTGTCCTGGGACCCCGTCCAGGCTGTCATCGACAAGTACATGGTGCGCTACACCTCCGCCGACGGGCAGTCCTGGGACACAGCGGTGTCCAGGGAGCAGAGCAGCACAGTCCTCACGGGCCTGACGCCGGGGGAGGTGTACAGAGTCCACGTGTGGGCCGAGCGGGGCGGCCAGGAGAGCAAGAAGGCCAACACCACGGCCCTGACAGGTATGGACGGAGCAGGATCCTCGCGTCAGGGGGTGAAGCATCCATCTTATATAAAAACTGCTGTTTGAAATGTTAACCCTGCTATTTCTGGCTCCTGTAAATGCTTGCTGGCTTAAATAATAAGGAAAATAAGACTACTCCCATTTCAGAGAGGCCATTAAACCTTCCCCAGATGAAGTTATCAGTGCTGGCGTCAGGCCAAGCCTTGGTCGAGGTCTCAAAGTGCCAGCACATAGGGCTCTTTAAGAACTTGCAAAGGGAACCGGAAAAACCCCATATTGGGGAGACAAAGAGGGTAAAATAGTATAAATACAGGAAACTTCCTGTGTGATTGCTCCCAGAATTTGAGAGGCATTTTCCTCTGGGCCCGTGCGTAGTAACAATAAATGTAACTCCATCTCTCTAAGCGTTGCTTGGTTCTTCTCCAGTTTTTCTGTAACAGGAGGAAGCTGACTTTTGAATCAGGAGGCCGGTGTCCATCGGCCACAGCTCTTTTCTTGTAAGGGTTGGGGTGGGGCTTGCAGAAGCAATTTCAAATTGTATAATTATGAAGTTTTTCATTTTTAAACCTCAAACAAAAGAGACCAGTCTTTTTATTTGATATAGAAGGTCACACTTATTTGGGTTGGAATTCCATACGCAGCTCCCTCAGAGAAGGGTAACTTACTTTCTAATTTTCATTTTTTGGTTGTGAAAACTCAAAACATTTGGAAGTTGAATGCTCGTCACAGTTTGCAGTGAAGGTACAGGCACTTCGCATGTGAACTGGAGCTCCCTTTCAGGTGTGGGAATGGTTCGTGTCCCGACTCAACACTCACAAACTACCGATTCCGCCCTGGGGCTCTCAGAAGCCATGAG